CTAGTCGAGATATCGGTATACTTAAAGGTGGGTCTAGGACCAATATTTCGCGGCGTTACAAACTTTTGGGGCTGCACAAAGCTATAATACCCTGACAACATAGTTGTGTAGGGTATAAAAAATCCTCGCTTTTTGTAACCCCTTGAATTTTTTGTTTTAAGCCAAGGCCTGTTGGTGACCCTTGAAAAAATATTTTTAAATCTGAACAGATTTCAACAAAACTTCGCATACATAAATTTGGACCAACTTCATTCAGTACGCTGTGCAAAATTTTGTGCCAATCGGCCTAAATTTGACTCTATGGTGCTCCATTTACATAAAATCGGACGAAACTATATATGGGAGCTACATATATAAATCTGAAACGATTCCAATAAAATTGTGCAAAATTTTGTCGGACAAATATTGGCAGTATGGTGCTCCATTTACACAAAATCGGATGAAAATATATATATGATAGCTTTATCTAAATCTGAACCGATTTCAACAAAATTTGGCATGCATCAATCTGGGCCTAATTCAATACTCTGTGCAAAATGTTGTCTCAATCGGACAAATATTGGGAGTTTGGTTCTCCTTTAACATAAAATCGGACGAAACTATATATGGGAGCTATATCTAAATCTGTACCGATTTCAACAAAACTTGGCATACATCCATCTGGGATTAATTCAGTACTCTGTGCAAAATGTTGTCTCAATCGGACAAATGTGGGCAGTATGGTGCTCTATTTACATAAAATCGGACGAAACTATATATGGGGGCTATATCTAATTCTGAACTGATTCCAAAAAATTTTGGCATACATCAATCTAGACCTAATTCAGTACTTTGTGCAAAAATTGTCTCAATTGGACCAAAGTTGGTACTATGGTGCTCCATTTACCTAAAATCGGACGAAACTATATATGGGAGCTATATCTAAATCTGAACCGATTCCAATAAAACTTGGCATACATCAAACTGGGCCTATTTCAATACTCTGTGCAAAATGTTGTCTCAATCGGACAAATGTGGGCAGTACGGTGCTCCATGGGAGCTATATCTAAATCTGAACCGATTCCAATAAAACTTGGCATACATCAATCTGGGCCTAATTCAATACTCTGTGCAAAATGTTGTCTCAATCGGACAAATATGGGCAGTATGGTGCTCCATTTACACAAAATCGGACGAAACTATATATGGGAGCTATATCTAAATCTGTACCGATTTCAACAAAATTTGGCATACATCAATCTAGACCTAATTCAGTACTCTGTGCAAAATGTTGTCTCAATTGAACCAAATTTGATACTATGGTGCTCCATTTTCCTAAAATCGGACGAAACTATATATGGGGGCTATATTTAAAACTAAACTGATTCCAACAAAATTTGGCATACATCAATCTGGGATTAATTCAGTACTCTGTGCAACATTTTGTCTCAATCGGACAAATGTGGGCAATATGGTGCTCCATTTACATAAAATCGGACGAAACTATATATGGGAGCTATATCTAAACTGAACCGATTTTCTTCAATTTCAATAGGGTTCGTCCTTGGGCTAAATAAGTGACATGTGTCAAATTTCATTTAAACCGGATCATAAATGCGACCTGTACTTTGTTCACAAAAATACGTGGACGGACAGGCGTAAATCGACTCACAAAGTTATTCTATGCATATTCTCAAAAGGAACCATGGGTCTATCTTGATTCCTTTTTGCCTGTTACATAATACCCTGTACCACAGTATGGTGAAGGGTATAAAAAATCCCTCCTTCCCATGAAATAATTGGTTACATAAAAATATGCCCTTTAATAGAAAATTGAACTTATCTTAGTTCCGATATTGTAAACTTTCCAAAACAATGACATTTTCACAGAATATCAGCAACCACAAATTCACGTTTCTGAATAAATTATTGACAGTTAGATAATCGGTTGTTCGGTCGATCGGTCGTTTGCCATTCTAAACACAAAGAACATAATAGCGAACAATATAGAGAAATTGTTATGATGTAATACAGGAATTGGCCAGGCTATCAGATCGACGATCAGTTTCTAAGTCGATCAGACGGTCGGTCGGTTTGTCGCTTGTTTCGAATTAAAATTCGCCGTTAAATGCTATGCATTTAATAGCCCCCCATGTTAACTATGTGTCATTCGAACAATAAACAGCGGGTTAATTGGAACGTTGGAACGAAGTTAATAAATTAGCATTTATCCGTAGACATTCTATGACAATAACACTTGTATTGGATATTTTAGTATTATTATTTGTTAAGGTTTTTTTTTATTTTTCCGGTAATAAATAATGCATGGACTTGAGGAGATTAGAATAATCTCTTTTTAATTCCACAGAGGGCATTTAAGATTTAATTGCGATTGTTGAGAATGTATCCAAGGTTATGGCTAGGAAAAGCAATCGGCTTGAGGCGAGAGGAAGGGTAGTTATACTCGACCATAACCACTGATAGCTGAAGGGATCGGAAAATAGCCATGCCTGTTGGTGACCATTGAAAAAATATATTTAAAAAAGCCACGCCTGTTGGAGATCCTTAAAAAAAATTTTTTGATGAGCCTTGAAAAGATATTTTTAAAAAATCCACGCCTGCTGGTGACCCTTGAAAAAATACTTAGAACAGAACTTTCGTTCCATAAGCCGAGCTTAAAAAATATTTCCAGGCGCGTCGGTCTTTTGCGCAGTTTTTCCAATTTGAAAGACCATATTCGGCAATGTTGTCTTCCATTTGGTCTTTCCATCTTATTCGTGGCCTTCCCCTTCTGCCTAAACCATCATCTGGTTCGCTTTTATATGCCTTCTGGGCTGGGGCATCTTCATCTATTCTCACAACATGACCTACCCAACGCTCAATACAATGTCGATGTCCGAGAATAGCTGGTAAACCTCATGTTTCATTCGACGGCGATATTCACCATCAACGCAGATCGGCCCATAGATCTTTCGGAGAACTTTTCTCTCAAACACTCCAAGAGCTGCCTCAGCTGCTTGCGCAAGTACCCATGATTCAGGTCCATATAACATCACGGGTAGTATCAGCGTCTGGTAGAGTGTGAGTTTGGTCTGGCGGGAGGTGTTGTTGCCTCAGACCATAGTAACATCTGTTGGCCATTACTATCCTTCTCCGAATTTCAAAACTGATGTCATTCGTTTTGTTTATGGCGATACCAAAGTATATAAAATCTTTGACTATCTCGAAGCTGTAGTTATCAAGTTCCACAGTTGGTCCGAGTCTACTGGACGTCTTGCGCGTTGATACCATCAGCTTGGTCTTCTCGCCGTTTACTGCCAGACCCACTTTGGCAGACTCCTTCTCAATTTGTTCAAAGGTGGCTGTTACCACTCTCAATGTTCGACCCATTATGTCGATGTAATCGGCGTAGGCGAGTAACTGGTGTACAGAGTGCCATTTCTGTTCACTTTTGACTTTTTCCAGCAGGATTTTAAAAAGGCCACACGACAAACTGTCACCTTGTCTGAATCCTCGTTCGGTATTAATGGGCTCCGAGAGACCCTTTCCGACTTTAACTGCTGATCTTGTGCCAGTTAAAGTTATCCTGCATATCCGTATTAATTTTGCAGGAATACCAAACGCAGACATGGCTTTATACAACTCTGAAAAGATAGGGTTTTCGACTGCGGGTTTATAGTCGACCAATAGGTGGAATATGTCGACGTGTTTTTCGTGGGGTTTTTCCAGTATTTAACGCAGAATGAAAATCTGGTCAATGGCGGATTTGCCAGGTCTGAAGCCGCATTGGTATGGTCCAATGATGTCATTGACCATTGGCTTCAATCGTTCACACAGCACACTGGATAGCACTATATATGCGATGGGAAGGAGACTTATTTCTCTATAGTTGGCACATATCGTCTTGTCTCCTTTTTTGTGCACGAGACACAGGATGCTGAGGTTCCAATCATTGGGCATGCATTCCTCTAGCCAAATTGTACTAATCAGCTGGTGCATGCTCCTTACCAGCATCTGACCACCAGTCTTGAATAGTTCGGCTTGTAACCCATCGGCACCTGACTTCATCTTGGCTAGGTGGTATACACTCTATACCGTCATCTCTTATTGGTTCTGCGATATCCTCTTCACAGCTACTATTTGATACCAGAAGTTTTTCAAAATGCTCCTTCCAGATCCTCAGCACGCTGTCAGTATCTGTCACCTGGTTTCCTTCTGTCACCAGGTTTCCTTTTTGTGGCCGCAAAGTCTTGTTTCTTCATGAAGGCTGAATTTTCCACCCACCAAAGATATTTTCCCTTCCGTTTTTTGCATTAAAATCTCCTAGCAAAATTTTAATGTCATGGCCAGGGCAGTGATCATATGCTGTCTCTAGGCGCTCGTAAACTATGTCTTTGGTCTGCTCATCTTTGTCTTCGGTTGGAGCATGGGCGCAAATAAGACTGATGTTGAAGAACTTCGCTTTTATGCGGATTATAGCAATTCGCTCATCTACTGGAGTGAATCTGGAGACGAGGTCTTTTTTTCTCCTATTTACCGTAAATCCGCAGCCAAATCCACGCCTCGTTTCATGGTAGCTATAATACAGGGCGTAATCATCTGATTTTCTTACGCCTGTTCCTTTCCATCGCATTTCCTGTAAGGCAATAATATCGGCTTTGTACTTCTCGAGTACATCCGTCAAAGCGAATACTGCCCCTGTTCTGTACAAGGTGTACACATTCCAAGTGCAGATTCGCAGATCGTGGTCCTTTACACGCTTTCGGGGGTCGTCAACATTAGTGTCAGTGTCCACAATTGAGATGAAAGAGGGACCAAGATAAGCCTGGACTTCGCCATATTAAAGCCAATCAGAACCGTTGCTTGGTATCTACCACCCCCTACGCCACCCTTGAGAAAATATTTAAAAAAATCCACGCCTGTTGGCGATTGTCATAACGTTTTATTTATATATTTATTTTTTTAAATTATATTTAATTTTTGTTTTTTTTTCTTCAATTTTTGTTTTCTTTTCATTACAGTGGCCTCGACAGTTCCTCGTGCAGTCAATGCATTAGCCTGCTCAAAAAATTGGCAGCCCTGGGTCACACAATTGTCTGCACCATACACCAGCCGTCGGCTTTGATTTTCGAAATGTTCGATAAACTATATACCGTGGTGGAGGGCCATTGTATGTATCAGGGTCCCGTCAAGGAATTAATACCCTTTTTGGCCGATCAAAATCTCATGTGTCCCAGTTATCACAATCCAGCAGATTTTTGTAAGTTTGTAAAAATATATTTTTTTTAAAACATTTTTTTTAATAATTAAATTTTTCCATTTTCCTTCTCTCCCCTCCCCTTTAGTACTGGAAGTGGCTGTCGGTGATTATGAACGTGATTTGGAGAAATTAATCAATGCCGCCAATAAGAAATATTTTGAAGATTCCGATCTCAATCAATTGAATCGTGTAACACGGCTAATAAGACAAATGCAGGGTAGGTACTGAAACCGATTATAATATATCAAGAAATTAAAAAAATATATATACGAAGAGGGAACGGATAAATAGGAAAGAGTTTAGGACGAGCCGAATATGTTATACTCTTCACCCCGAGGAGGACATTCAACATTAACCAAAAATTACGATCATTCGGTTGAAATAAATGTGTCCAAAATCTTCAAAACTCCCAAAATTAGAGGGTAGCGTTATATGGGCGCTATAGCCAAAAAATCATCTATATTGATAATTTTTTGACAAAAAGATTTGTTTCCCCATGAGAACTTTAAATATGAAATTAGAGGTGATTCGAATGAAAATCATGCTTGAAATCGGCAAAATATCTAAAATCGGAGGGTACCAGGAGGAGGCCATACCCAAATATCGACCGATATTTATAATTTCTGGTATGACGATTTGATACCTCATGAGAACTCAAAATATCAAATTACAGAATATTCAGTTGAATATCGTGTCCAAAACTCAAAATACCGAAAATCGAAGGGTACCATTATATGGTGGCTATAACTAAGAATTGGTCGACATGGATAATTTTTGGTGCAGAGAGGTGTTTAAAAAATTTAAAAAAAATATTTGAAAATTTCAAGACTATAAGGGAACGGATTGAGGATTAGGGTGAATTTCATTTTTTAGTGTCCCTCATCTATAAAATTTACATTTTTGAAAAACTTTCTATTTAATTTCATTTTCTTTAATTTTACGCTTATGTGTGTGTATATTTCTTTTTTTTTCAATTAAAATTATTTCCGCATTAACATTACACCAACATAAATATACAACAGCACCACTTGAATATGCCGCACATTATGTTTATTGCAACCCATTGTGCAATAGGCAGCAAAGTAAACCAAATTTTTAATTGAAAATATCAGAAAAAAACAACAAGAAAAATAACAACAAATATTTTGCAATGGGAAAACAAAACAACGAAATTTAAATATTGAAACAAAAATAGGGAAATCATGCAAAACATAAGTGCCGGAGGAGGAGGAGGAGAAGAAGAAAAATAACCAAAAAGTCATTGGCAAAAAATAGTATTTCCTATAAAAAAAATTCCATTTGTCTTCATGCAAAATAAAGTCCACAAATGACCTCTTTGCGAATTGTGAATGAATGGTTGGTTGGTTGGGTGAATAGCTGACTCGATGGATGGTTAGATGAATGGCGGCTGGCTGGCTGACTGAATAATGACGAACCACACCAACCATTTATTATGTTCACAACCGCGCATCACAAATTGCTATTGTTTGTTGCCAATTTTTTCTTCTTCTTCTGAATATTGTTTTCTTTTCGCTTTCTTCTTTTGTATGTTTTGGTTAAAAGTAAAATGCAATAGAAAAAAATAAAAAAAAAACACTTTTTATAATAAATAAGAGGATTCGATGCGATGTGTCGGATTTTCGCATAAGGCATAACAATAGTGAAAGAGTCGTTTCCACGACAGAGGGGTCTACGATCCGAAACGACCCGAGTCTTACTCGGCCAATGTCTGTCACCTCAGCCCATTGTGTAAAAGCAATAGGGCTGCTACAACAACAACATAGTGAAATAGTGGATTTTTTAAAAATATTTTTTCAAGGGTCACCAACAGTCGTGGAGTTTTTAAAATATTTTTTTTTTCAAGGAATCACCAACAAGTGGAACTTTTTAAAAATATTTCTTTCAATTGGTAACAACCGGCGTGGATTTTTATACCCTTTATATACCACACTGTGGTGCAGGGTATTATGTCTTTGTTCATATGTTTGTAACAGGCAAAACGAGTCGAGATAGACCCATGGTTCATTTTGAGAATATGCATAGAATCATTTTCTGAGTCGATTTACGCATGTCCGTCTGTCCATGTATTTTTGTGAACAAAGTACAGGTCGCATTTATGATCCGATTTGAAGGAAATTTGGCACAGTTCACTTATTTCGCCCAAGGACGAACCCTATTGAAATTGGAGAAAATCGGTTCAGATTTAGATATAGCTCCCATATATAGTTTCGTTCGATTTTATGTAAATGGAGCACCATACTGTCAATATTGGTCCGACTGAGACAAAATTTTACACAGAGTACTGAATTTAGTCCAAACTGATGTATGCGAAGTTTAGTTTAAATCGGTTCAGATTTAGATATAGCTCCTATATATAGTTTCATCAGATTTTATGTAAATGGAGCAGCATACTGCCAATACTGGCCCGATTAAGACAAAATTTTGCACAGAGTACTGAATTAGGTCTAGATTGATGTATGCGAAGTTTTGTTGGGGTCGGTTCAGATTTAGATATAGCTACCATATATAGTTTCGTCCGATTTTAGGTAAATGGTTCACCATACTGCCAATATTGGTCCGATTGAGACAAAATTTTACACAGAGCACTAAATTGGGTCCAAATTGGTGTATGCGAAGTTTTGTTGAAATCGGTTCAGATTTAGATATAGCTTCCATATATAGTTTCGTCTGATTTTAGGTAAATGGTTCATTGGCCCGATTGAGACAAAATTTTGCACAGCGTAATGAATTCAGTACAGTTTGACATCTGTGAAGTTTTTGTTGAAATCGGTCCAGATATAGATATAACCCCCATATAAAATTTTGGCGGATTTCATACAAATGTAACACCAAAAATTCAAGGCTGACCGATTGACATGCAATTTTTTATAGAGTTCAGAATGGTCTGTGTATGGCTGTTTTATTCGTTCAAATATCTATGTATTTGTGTTTCACCCGATTCCATGCCAATGGCCATCCAAACATCTCTTCTATCAACAGGGTATTGTACACAGTATCATCTCTTGTACCCAAAGTGGTGAAGGGTGTCATATAGTCGGCCCGTCCGACTTTTGAATTTCCCTTACTGGTTTAAAAATATTTTTATAGGGATTATAACAGACGCGGATTTATTATAACAGCCGTGGATTTTGTTGCTGAACTTTGAATTTTTGAAAATTTTTTTCAGTGTTGTGAATTTTTTTTAATATTTTTTAAAGGTGGATTTTTTTAAATATATTTTTTGAGTTATATTGTGATTCATATGTTGCCCCTTTAATTCCCTTGATCCAATTTTTATTCCAGAATATTCCTTCCTTTTATTTCTATTTTCATTTTATTTCTATTTTCCAAAAAAAATTTAATGTTCCATGCCAACAATTTAAATTTTTTATTAACCCAATACTTAATTACAACTTCTTGTTGCTTCTTCTTCTCTTTATCATTAAAGTTGAAAATGTCGATATGTCTCATCACTTGAGTGGCAGTGGAAAAAATCTACCCAAAACCTTTAACATTGACATGGACACTAGTCTAACATCGAAGAAGAAGTCGAACTTTCCAGCATTTGATGATTACACGAAACCGGTTGTAATTAACAATGACATGGTCTTGGAGGAAATGAAAGCCCTTGCGGCCAGCAGTGGTAATAAAACGAAGTCATCCGGAACGCCAGAAGATTGCGGCATGGAAATGCCACATGAAAAACAGCCATTGAACAAAACCGAAACGACAACAACAACAACCATCACGACACACACCTTTGATACCGAAAACTTTACTAAGGCCTCATTTTTTATGCAATATCTGCTGTTGATGAATCGCATTTTCATTTGTGCGAAACGAAGTAGTGTAAGTAGTAGAAAAACCCCATTATCTTTTTAGTAATAAGTGTTTTCCCTTTCTGTGGACGGACCGACAGACAGACAGACATTTATGCAGTCATATTTTTTAATTGTGTTATGATGTTTGAGTAATGTTTTTGTTTTTTAAAAAATTTTTGCCTGGCAGCCTAGTGTGTAGGTCAAGTGTTCCATTTAGTATTACTTAAATGTTTCATTTTTTTTTATTTTTATATTTTTGTTGTTGTACTTTAGAAAAATTAATCTGCCACTTAAAGTTTTGTTTGTTACTTGAGCCATAAAATATTCGTATTGCCCGAATTATGTTTTGTTTTTCTGTTTACCTTGCTACGTGTGAAATTTTTAGCAGTCATAAATTTGTTTACAAAAATCAGTGCGGAATTGGTATTTATAACCTTCAGCACACTGTGGTACAGGGTATTATGTCTATGTGCACACACATGGTACCTTGGTTCCTTTTGAGAATATATACCTTGGTTCCTTTTGAGAATATACACAGAGTCACTTTTTAAGTCGATTTATGCATGTCCATGATAAATTGTAAACAAAGTACAGGTCGCATTTATGATCCGAATTGGATGAAATTTGGCATAGGTCACTTATTTGGCCCAAGGACGAACCCTATTGAAATATTTTCGTCCAATTTTAGGTAAATAGTCCACTAAAGCCCCAAATATATCTTTCGATTTCCACGAAATTTGGCATAGCGTACTAAATAAAGTCTAGAATGATGTGTGTTAAGTTTCGTGAAAATCGGTTCAGATTTAGATAAAACTCCCATATATATTTTCGTCCGATTTAAGGTTAATGGTGTACCAAAGTAGCTATATATCATTCGATTTGCACGAAATTTGGCATAGCGTAGTGAAATAAGTCTACAATGATGTGTGTTAAGTTTCCTGAAAATCGGTTCAGATTTTGATATAGCTCCTATATATATTTTCGTCCGATTTAAGGTAAATCGTGTACCAAAGTCCCTAAACATTTTTCGATATATAGATATAGCTCCCATATATAGTTTGGTCCGATTTATGGTAAATGTTGTACCAATGTCCCTATATATCTTTCGATTTGGACGAAATTTGGCACGGTGTAATGAATTACGTCTAAAATAATGTGTCTTAAATTTTCTGAAAATCGGTTCAGATTTTGATATAGCTCTTATATATATTTTCGTCCGATTTAAGGTAAATGATGTACCAAAGTCCATATATATCTTTCGATTTGCACGAAATTTGGCATTGCGTAATGAATACTGTCTAGAATGAGTGTGTTAAGTTTCGTGAAAATCGGTTCAGATTTAGATATAGCTTCATATATATTTTCGTCCGATTTAATATAAATGTTGTACCAAAGTCCCTATATATCTTTCGATTTGCACGAAATATGGCACAGCGTAATGAATTAAGTCTAAAATAAGGTGTGTTAAGTTTCCTAAAAATCGGTTCAGATTTTGATATAGATCCATATATGTTTTCGTCCGATTTAAAGTAAATCGTGTACCAAAGTACCTATATATCATTCGATTTGTACGAAGTTTGGCATAGCGTACTGAATTAAGTGTAGAATGATGTGTATCAAGTTTCGTAAAAATCGGTTCAGATTTGGATATAGCTCCTATATATATTTTTTTCCAATTTTAAATAAGTGATGTACCAAGGACCCAAAATATGGATGATAGGCGAACTGAAATTAGTATAGCCTAACCTGTGACAAGTTTCGTTGCAATCGGCTCAGACATAGCCCATATATTTTACCGACTTCATGTGTATTGGGTTTCAAATTATCAATGAGTTTCCGATTGAGATTTCCTTTAAATCGATTTACATAAGTTTGTTTCATTCACATTTAGATATTACTTACTTACTTAGCTGGCTTGTGACAGAAATTTCGTTCCATAAGCCGAGCTTAAAAAAGATTTCCAGGCGGTCTTTTGCGCAGTTTTTCCAGTTTGAAAAATCTTTCCATCTTATTCGTGGCCTTCCTCTTCTACGTGAACCATCAGCTGGTTCGTTTTATATGCCTTTTGGGCTGGGGCATCTTCATCCATTCTCACAACATGACCTATCCAACGTAATCGCTGCAGCTCAATACGTCTAACAATGTCGATGTCCGAGAATAGCTGGTACAACTCATGGTACATTCGACGCCGATATTCACCGTCAACGCAGATCGGCCCATAGATCTTTCGGAGAATTGTTCTCTCAAACACTCCAAGAGCTGCCTCATCAGCCTGCGCAAGTACCCATGCTTCAGTTCCATATAATATCACGGGTAGTATCAGCGTCTTGTAGAGTGTTAGTTTGGTCAGGCGGGAGGTGGCCTTGCTTTTGAGTTGCTTACTCAGACCGTAAAGGCATCTGTTGGCAATCACAATCATTTTCCCGATTTCAAAACTGATGTCATTAGTTTTATTTATGGCGTTACCAAGGTATATAGAATCTTTGACTACCTCGAAGCTGTAGTTCTCAAGTTCCACAGTTGGTCCGAGTCTACAGGACATCTACTGGCGCTTTGATACAACCAGCCTGGTCTTCTCGCCGTTTACTGCCCACTTTGTTAGACTCCTTCTCAATTTTTTCAAAGGTGGATGTTACCGCTCGCAATGTTCAACCCATTATATCGATGTCATCGGCGTAGGCGAGTAACATATGCCGTTTGGTGTACAGAGTGCCATTTCTGTTCACTTTTGCCTCTCGTATGACATTTTTAAAAAGGATGTTGAACAGGTCACACGACAAACTGTCACCTTGTCTGAATCCTAGTTCGGTATAGAAGGGCTCCGTTGGTCCTTTCCGAATTTAACTGCTGACCTTGTGCCACTTAAAGTTATCCTGCATAGCCGTATTAATTTTGCAGGAGTGCAGAACTTAGAAATGACTTAGACCTCTTAACGGATAGTGATGTCGAATGCAGCTTTATAGTTGAGGAATAGTTGGAATATGTCGATTGGTTTTTCTTGGGTTTTTTCAGAATTTGGTGCAGAGTAAAAATCTGGTCAATGGTGGATTTGCCAGGTCTGAAGCCCCATTGGAATGGTCCAATAATGTCATTGACCATTGGCTTCAATCGTTCATCCAGCACACTGGATAGCAAATTCCTCTATAGTTGACACATATCGTCTTGTCTCATTTTTTGTGCACGGGACACAGGATACTGAGGTTCCAATCATTAGGCATGCATTCTTCTAGCCAAATTATACTAATCAGCTGGTGCATGCATCTGACCACCAGTCTTGAATAGTTCGGCTGGTAACCCATCGGCTTCTGCTGCTTTATTGTTCTTGAGCCGATTACGTGTTGATACTGTCTGCAGGGCTGCCCTAGTAGCATTACGAACTCTTGATCGTACCACGGATTTCTTGATTGTGGTCTTTTGTACCCAAGTGTTGCTTTTGCTGCAGTATGTAGGGAGTTGGCAATTCTTTGCCATTATGCTTCTATATGGTCCGAATCTCTATTCGGTCCTCGGATCGATCGAACATCTAATACACTGGATGAATGACTTCCGTCTATCACAACATGATCAATTTGATTTCTCGTTGCTTGATCAGGGGAAATCCAGGTGAACTTGTGTATATAGAGATGCTTGAATCTGGTGCTGCTAACTACCATGTTTTTTGCTGCCGCGAAGTCAATCAACCCCAGGCCGTTGTCGGATGTTTCTTCATGAAGGCTGAATTTTCCGACCGTGGGGCCAAAGATATTTTCCCTTCCGATGTTTGCATTAACATCTCCTAGCAGAATTTCAATATCATGGCCAGGGTTTTTTAACATGCGTGTTTTTTAAAAATATTTCTTCAAGGGTCACCAACAGGCGTGAAATTTTTTTTAAATCTCTTAGTGGTCTTAAACTTAAAATTAGCGGTTCTAATAAATTTTACACCTTTGTTTCTATTTTTACACAACAACAAAAAAAACTATTTCACTTACAAAACTATTTTTACATAGTTGCGTGTTATTGTGGGTGAGAAGAACAGGTTGACAAGCCTGACTAATTGATATTCAACATCTGTCAGAGAGAACGAAGTGGGTAAATGGGTTAGTAAGAATGTAAGCGGAATTTAATTATAAATTTTGTTTTAACATAGGTGTTGAGATGTGGCAACACAACAACACACGCGAACACACATTGTAAATATACAAGTCACTGACGGATCGCATAAACTATACGAAATAATGTCTAGACCAAAATTACAATAACAAGCTAGAAATATAATTCAATATAAATCAATAATTCAATTCAGAACGTTTATACGGATTTGTAGAACATTTATATTTTGATGAAAGTTTGAATAAAAAAACTCATTTTCGTAGTAATCGTAGTAATTTGAATATTTTTTTAAATAGAAATTGAAATTCGTTTATGGCATTTGCATATTGGAATTCACTTTTAAATGTGGAAAAGAAAATTCTTTTAAAAATTCACCCCTCATGAAAAACTTAAAAAAATATTCTTTTCAAAATTCACCCCTCATGAAAAACTAAAAAAATATTCTTTTCAAAATTCACCCCTCTAGAAGGCCCTGAAAAAATATTCTTTTAAAAATCCACCCCTCCAGAAGGCCCTGAAAAAATATTCTTTAAAAAATCCACGCCTCTTGTAGACCCTGAAAAAATATTCTTTTAAAAATCCACGCCTCTTGTAGACCCTGAAAAAGTATTCTTTTAAAAATCCACGCCTCTTGTAGACCCTGAAAAAATATTCTTTTAAAAATCCACGCCTCTTGTAGAACCTGAAAAAATATTCTTTTAAAAATCCACGCCTCTTGTAGAACCTGAAAAAATATTCTTTTAAAAATCCACGCCTCTTGTAGAGCCTGAAAAAAATATTCTTTTAAAAATCCACGCCTCTTGTAGACCCTGTAAAAATATTCTTTAAAAAATCCACGCCTCTTGTAGACCCTGAAAAAATATTCTTTAAAAAATCCACGCCTCTTGTAGACCCTGAAAAAATATTCTTTAAAAAATCCACGCCTCTTGTAGACCCTGAA